ACAAGAACAGGCATACAGACCAATGGAACAGATTAGAGATTCCAGAAGCAAAATCTCAATTTCTCAGCCAACTCATTTTTGACAAAAGCCTCCACCATCAGCCCCTGGGGAGAGGTGAACCTATTCAGTAAATGGTGCTGGGAAAACTGGCTGACCACATGCCAAAGATTAAAACAAGACCCCTACTTATCACCATACACAAAAAATCAACTCTAAATGGATCAAAGACCTAAATGTAAAACCTCTAACTATAAAAACCTTAGAAAATGCAGGAGGCCAGGCTCGGTGGCTCAGCCTGTAATCCCAGCCCTTTGGGAGGCCAAGGCGAGTGGACTGCCTGAATCCGCGGGTTCAAGACCCACCTGGGCAACTTGGTGAGACCCCATCTCTACAATAAATCAAAAATTAGCCAGGTATGGTAGCGCATGCCTGTAGTTCCGGCTACTTGGAAGGCTGAGGCGGAAGGATAGTCAGAGCCCAAAGCCAGGAGCGTGCCACTGCACTCCAGTCTGGGTGACAGAGTGAGACTCCAACTCAAACAAAAAAACAAAAACAAACAAAAAAAAAGAAAATGCAGGAGACACCCTTATGGAAATTGGAACTGGCAACCAATTCCTGGTCAAAACCCCAAGTGCCCATGCCATAAGAGATAAGATAGACAAGTGGGACCTCATCAAACTGGAAAGCTTCTGCAAAGCCAAAGAAACCATCGAGAGAGCAGGGAGAGAGCCCACAGACTGGGAAAAAATATTTGCCAACTGTATATCTGACTACAAGAAACTCAAATGTGCCGAAAATAAAAAAACAAACAGCCCCATTACAAATTGGGCAAAAGATATGAATAGATACTTCTCAAAAGAAGACATACAGGCATCTAACAGATACATGAAAATATGCTCAGCCTCACTAGTCAGCAAAGAAATGCAAATTAAAACCACACTGAGATACTACCTAACTCCAATCAGGATAGCCATCATCAATAACTCAAAAAACAACAGATGCTGGAGAGAATGCAGAGAAAAGGGAATACTTCTGCACTTTGGTGGGAGTGTAAACTAGTACAGCCGCTGTGGAAAACAGTGTGGTGATTCCTAAAAAATCTAAAAATCTACTACCCATATGACCCTGCAACCCTCCTACTGGGAATATAACTGGAGGAAGTCAAATCACTCTATGAAAAAGATACCCGCACATGTCTATTGCAGTATTATTTACAATAGCAAAAACATGGAACTAACCATGCTGCCCATCAAAAGAAGACTGGATTTTAAAAATGTGGTACATATACACAATGGAATATTACGTAGCCATAAAGAAAGACAAAATTATGAACTTCGCAGCAACTCTGATGGTCTTATAGGCTATAATACTGAGTGATCTATCACAGAAACAAAGAACCAACAGGTTCTCACTCATAAGCAGACCTTGAACAACTATAATAGTATAAGAAAAGGATTGGCAGTAGTGGGAAACTGCCAGGGGTAGGTGGGAGCAGGATTGGCAGTAGTGGGAAACTGCCAGGAGCATGGGGAGCATACCTCATCAACAAGGGTACCTGCATAATGAACATTTGTATATCTAACACTGAGTTGTACCCCACATATTTAAAATAAAAAATTAAAACAAAATAAAACAAAAAATAAACCTACAATGGCCTCTAAGTTTCAAATGAAAGAATCACATGCCTTTCACTTTAAATCAAAAGCTAGAAATGTTCAAGGTTAGTGAGGAAAGTACATCTAACGCTGAGATAAGCTGAGAGCTGGGCCTCTTACTCCAAATAGCCAAGTTGTGAATGCAAAAGAATAGTTCTTGAAGGAAATTAAAAGTGCTACTTCAGTGAACACATGAATGATAAGAAACTGAAACAGCCTTATTGCTAATATGGAAAAAGTTTGAGTGGTCTGGATAGATCAAAACAGCCACAGCATTCCCTTAAGACAAAGCTCAATGCAGGGCAAGGCCCTCTCTTCAATTCTATGAAGACTGAGAGAGGTGAGGAAGCTACAGAAGAAAAGTGTAAAGTTAGCAGAGGCAAGCCGGGCTTGGTGGCTCAGCCTGTAATCCCGCGCTTTGGGAGGCTGAGATGAGTGAATTGCCTGAGCCTGCGGGTTCGAGACCCGCCTGGGCAACTTGGCAAGACCTCATCTCTACAATAAATCAAAAACTAGCCGGGCATGGTAGCACGTGCCTGCAGTTCCAGCTACTTGGAAGGCTGAGGCGGAAGAATCGCCGGAGCCCAGCAGGTTGAGGCTGCGGTGGCTGGGAGCGGCCACTGCACTACAGTCTAGGCGACAGAGTGAGACTCCAACTCAAAAAAAAAAAAAAAAAAGTTAGCAGAGGTTGAGGGAAAGATGTCTCCATTTTTATTTTAAAGATTTCAATTGTTCCCCAAATGAACTATAGATTTTAATGCATTTCCAGTGAAAATCCTAGCAGAACTTTCTGTGGAACCTGACAAACAGATTCTAAAATTTAAATGAAATTGCAAAGGGCTAAGAATAGCTAAGACACTAAAAATAAGATGGGAGGACTTGCTTAACTGATATCCAAACTTATGAAAAAGCTGTAGTTATTAACACAGTGAAGGCTTAGAGAAGGAATAGACAAAGGAAACAGATTGTCCAGAAACAGACCCAAATGAACATTTGATTTTTGACAAAGAAGACACTGCAGACCCATGGGACAAAGGCAGTCCTTTCCTCCCTAATGAATAATGCTTCAACAATTCGGTATGATAACACCAAAAAAGTAAAGCAAAATCAGTTCCCCTCAACCTCACAGTATATACAAAAATCAGTTCTAGGTGATTATAAACTTCAACCTGAAAGGCAAAAACATAAAACTTTTAGAAGGCAATGTAGGAAAATAGTTTCATTGTCTTAGGATATGTAAATAAACACATAGAACACTAAATATAAAGGAAAATATTATTAGACTCCATTAAAATTACAAAGTTTTTTTAATCAAAAAAATGCCACTATTAAGAAAGTTACAAAATAAGCAGGTATTTGCAACACATAACCCACAACAATGAAGACTAAAAACAGTTCACATCCAGAATAAAGAACTACAAATTTAGAAAAACAGACACTCCAAAAAAAGGAAAAAAGGACTTGAACAGGCACAAAAAAAGAAAACCCAAATGGACAAACTTGCCACAAGATGCCCCATGTCAATAGTAACCAAGAAAATGCAACTAAACTAGAGTGAGATACCACTGTGCCCTCACTACATGGCAAAAAATGAGCAACATGTATGGACAAGTCTGTTGAGCAACAGAAATATAGTCTCTCATCTGGGAATACAAACTTTGTAATACAGTTTGGTGTTAGAATGCTCATATTCTAAGACCCAGCAATTCCTCTCCTAGGTAAATAGAGTACTTATGGCAGGATACAAGTGAAAGAATGTAGCAGCACCGCTCATAACCACCAAAAAAAGCAGCCAGCCCAAATGTCTACCAACAGAATTTGTTGAATTCAAATGATGGAATACTATGCCACTATGAAAATGAACAAGTACATACTACAGCATTTATGAACCTTAAAAATGTTAAGTAAACACACACAATACTATTCTATATCTATAAAGTGCAAAAACAGGTAAGAAAAACTATACTCTTGGGAATGACTATATATGTAACAAAACTGTAAAGAGATAGGAAGTGATCAGTAGACAAACTAGGATCATGGCTATCGCTAGAAGGAAAAAAGGGGTATGATTGACAAAGGAGGCAGCAATGCTTTTTCTTGACTTGCAGTGTTCTCACAGTACTGTTTCTTGGAAACTTCTTAAGATAACTGTAGAATGTTGTTTCTGCCTGTCTGCTGCAGGGGTTATACAAAAACTGGGGGAGCTTGACGTGGGCATGTAGGACTGGAGCCTAAGTGCCTATAAAGTGGTATAAAAATTTGTGGAAAATTGAAGTGGCAGTTTATTGTTGTCAAGCTCGGCTCTCATCCATGGCAGTCATACATGCCCCAAATGGCAAAAAGATGTTGCTTACCTGGGTAACTGAGAGGCTCCACAAGGAGATGAAGATACAACACTAGCTGTATCTTCTGTTTTGTATTCTTTTATAAAGCTAAGAAAAGGGTATACTATTAAAGTCTATTTGTGTTTTATGAGTCTTATTGCCAACTTGAACCCATTCTTCTATAGTGTTGAAATTCACAATTTAAAAAAAAAAGTTCAAAAGGAGAAAAGGGAAGGCAAGAAGAGGAGCAGATATTGCCTGTTATGGGTTCAACTGCCCCCTCCTAAAACTCTTATGTTGAAGATCCAGCCCCCCGTACCTCAGAATATGACCATATTTGGAAATAGGGCCATAATATCTCATATTGTGATTAATTACAGAGATCATTGGGGTGGGTACTAGTCTGATACAACTGATGTCCTTATAAAAGGGGGAAATTCAGACATACGTGCATAGGGAGAATGCCATATAAACAGGAAGGCAGAGATCAGGGTGATATCTTTGTAAGCCAACACCAAAGATTGCCAGCAAACCATCAGAAGCTAGGAAAGAATGATTCTTCTTCACAGCCCTCAGGAGGAACCAATTGTGCTGATACCCTGTGCTGGGAAGTCTAGTCTTCAGACCCATGAAACAATAGACTTCTGTTGTTTAAGCCACCTAGTTTGTGGTACTTTGTTATGGCAGCTGTAGCAAATTAGCACAGGCTTTAAGCTATAAATCACTAAGGTTGGTTAAGTTAGCAAATTAAAACCCTTACAATTTTAAATCTAATTTGAAAGAAGTTTTTGAAATAGTTTACCCATCTCAGAAACAGGAAAAATAAAAATAAAAATAAAAGCAACTGCTTTCACAGTTCATGCTAAATGATAGCAAACTTATTGAATAATACACTTTTTAAAAGCATAACAAAGTTTCCTTAACTGTTCCCAAATGCTGACTAAAGTAAGACAAATAGAATCCCTCATTAATTTCTCACATCCATTCCTATCTGCTTTTCAATATGCCAACTTAGTCTTACTTTTTTGGGAATTTGCTCACACTCCAGTTTAACTTCCCATTTTATTTTCTCTTCTTGTGTTTCTTCAACTTCTGTATCATCTAGTTCATCATCGATTCTGTAGCAAAAATATCAAATAACACAAAAGGGTTTTTTCAACCTGAAAAGTGTTCACACCACAGCTTTAAAACTCACTACTTTGGTTTGTCTTCAATTTGCTCTAAAAAAATTCCAAATTCAAATTCTATGCTAAATACTCCAGATAAATAAGTACAAAATTTTGATGAGCAATAAATGTCAGTACATTTATGAATAACCTGTAAAACTGAAATTTTAGATTACACAACCTTAATGTTCAAGTATTAGCACTTATATAAATCATTCATTCAACCATCATTTCACTCAGTCAACAAATACTGAGTATCCACCACACACCAGACTCTGGGCTTTATCTCCTGGGCTAAAACAATGAAAAAAACCTTGCCCCTACCTTCTGAGACCTTTCAATCTGCTTGGGAGAAAAAAAAAATAAAGCTATTTCAATACAGTGTAATAAATATAGATGCATTTCTGTGAAACATTCAACCTAGACTTGAGGGCCTGAGGCTTTCCTGAACCCAAAAGATACATCAAAGTTAGCAAAGAGAAATGTACAGGAGGATGTTTCAGGCAGAAAGCAGGGTGCCTTCTGAGACTAGGAGAGAGACAAACATATCAAGTGTAAAAATGAAAAAGAAAAATTGTTTTCAGACTCATAGGACTGAGATGTTGACCGTATTATAGACATCATCTGAGACTACTTGAAGATTCATTTTCTAGCAAAACTAAAAATAAACCCAAGAAAGATAAAAATGGGAAATACAAGAAACTGGTGAAGAAGCTAATAAAATGTATAGATGAATCTAGATAAAGGTGGATGCTAGAGATGTAGGGTGCTGAAGAAAACAGTGTCTTATAAGTAGTGATTACTGAACAAGATAGGAAAAAGCTTTAAAATACAAGTTATATGCCAGACAAAGACAAGGAACAGGCAATGTGTCCATTCTCAAGAGAACACGTCACAAATGGAAAACACTGCTAGCACAAGGAGAATAGGAATAGAGGTTTTGTGCTTTCAAAGTTACAGGAACTCAGGCTTCACAGCTCCATCCAATTCAACAGTTTACACTGACCTCAGAGCTACATCCATCAGATAAGATGCCAAGCTGTGAGCCTTCTACAGAACCCACCATTACAAGAGCCAAAAGCCCAAATTTCCGTGAACCTTTATTGCTCTGGTTTTCAGTAATGAATCATCTCATGGAGTAGGAGAAAACCTCTCCCTAGGCAAACAAATAATGACAATAATGACTAAAATAGCAATAATAGCAATAGCCAATACTTGCATAATGCTTACTCTGTGCCAGGTGCTGCTCCATGCACCTAACACTTATCACAACAATGCCTCGGCATATATACTATTGTTTAAAAAGCCCATTTCACAGATGAGAAAACTGAATTACAGAAAGGTTATGTAACTTGTCACAGATCTAATAAATGGTGGAGCTGAGATATGAGTGCAGGTAGGCTTCCAAGTATGTGCCCTACCTAAAACCACACATTATTCTACACTGCCCATTCCAAATGAATGTACTTTCTCTTTTCACTGTTAAGGTTTACAATTCTCAGCGCCCATATTACCTGACCTGTTAGCATGATGGGACAGAGTTGGCCACCTCTTCAATGTAAAACATGTTTTTTACTTTGCTTCAGAGACATTGAGCTCTTCTTGGCTGGGCATGGTGGTTGACTCCTGTAATCCCAGCACTTTGGAAAGGCGAGGCAGGAGGATTGCTTGCGCCCAGGAGTTTGAGATCAGAGATCAGACTGAGGAGCACAGAGAGACCAAGTCTCTATTAAAAAAAATCAAAAATTAGCCAGGCATGGTGGCGCACCTGTAGTCCTAGCTACTACGGGTGGCTAAGGTAGAAGGATCAGCTAAGCCCAGGAGGCTGAGGCTGCGGTGAGCAGTAATTGTGACACTGCACTGCAGCCTGGGGAACAGAGTGAGACCCTGACTCAAAATTTAAAAAAAGATACACTGAGCTTTCCCAGTTTCTTCTCCCCTCACTTCTACTTCTCAGTTTCCTTTGTTGGTTTCTCATCTTTACAACTTAAAAAGTCAGTTCTCACATTTCCTTTCTTATTTGTCTACACTCTCATGTCAGGTGATCTCCTTTCTTGTGGCTTTGACTATTGTCTATATGTAGTTGATTTCAATATTCAAGTCTCCAATTTAGACCCCTGGATATCCCCGTATCCACTTAGATACCTGCTAGACATATGTAATCTCAACACATCCAACACTGAACTCTTGCTTTTCTCTGAAACCTATATTAAACAGCAACTCCATCCCTCTCATGATACTAATCAAAATCTTAAAATCTTGACATCCCTCTTACATCCCCAATCCAATCTGTGAGGAAATCCAATTTGTTCCACCTTCAAAATATACCCATATTTGACTATTTTTTTTTTTTTTTGGCCACGAATACAACAATCCAAACTGCTCTGGCCCTTACACTCTTACACATCCAGAATGACCCTGCTAACGCATGCCAAATGTCACTCTCAGCTGAAAACCCTCCAATGGCTTCTCATTTTGTTCAGAGTAAAAGCCAAAGTCCTTTTTATGGTATCTACAAGTCCCTACTATATGACCAGCCTCTCCCAACCCTACCCCATTACCTCTCAGACTTCATTCAAGTCCTATTACCCTTGCTCCACTCCAGTGGTCATGTTGACCATGTTGCTCCTCTAACTCAATCATACCAAGCTCACTCACAGAGCGCTCTCCGCTCCTCTAGATATCAAACTCCTCACCTCCTTCACTTTCCTATTCAAATGTTACTTACCAACGTTATCTGTGAGGCTTTCCTCCACTATCTTCTCTAAAGTATCTACACCTTCCTCACCATCCCATCAGCAATTCTTTTCCCCTTACCCTTCTTTCATTTTCTCCAGGGCATTTAACATCACCTAAGTACTATATATTTATGTATTGTCTGTCTTCCACTCCCCTCGGTAATGTAAGTTCATTAGTACAGAAATTTTTATTTCTTGTTTATTCATTGCTGTGTCCCTAAGGCCTAGAATGTCTCCTATGTAGCAGGTGCTCGATCAACTTTTTTTTTTTGAATGAATGGATGAGGATTATTCCCATCACAATATTAGTAGGAAAAACTCAGAAACCATAAAAGATCGATTCTGACTGCATAAACAAAACCTAACCAAAACACCCACATCTTTATGCATTGAAAAATAACACCACAGGCAAACACAAACGACAATTAACAACTGAGAGTAAAATAGTTCCAAGAAAGAGATCCTAAAATTTGAAGAAGACCAGCAAAGAGAAAAACAGGCAAATTATATGCACAGTTCACCCTACTTCCATACCACCCTTCACATATCATTCTGGTCAAATTCTATTCTGGGAATAGATCTTTTGTCTAATACATTATCAAGTGGTTAGCCACTATTGAGTTTTGTATATGTTGCTATTATCTTTTTTTGTTGACTTCATATGTATTTTATGTTTTATCAGTTGGTTTATTTTTCTTAGTAAATGGTCATATCATCTGCAAGTAATTAATGTCTTTGTCTCTTTCCAATATTTATAGGTCTTATTTTATTTTAGTCATTTTGCATTAGAAGCTTGGTGATGACCTATTAAAAAATGGGCAGAGGACATGAAATGACACCTCTCAAAAGAAGATATACGAGCAGCTAACAGATATATGAAAAAATGCTCAGCCTCACTAATCATCAGAGAAATGCTCAAAAACACAGAGATACCACTTAACCCAGTAAGGATGACCATCATTAATAAAACCAAACAAACACACAATAGATTCTGGTGCAGGTGTGGAGAAAGGGGGGATTTCTACACTGTTGGTGCAAGCTAGTCCAACCTATATGGAAAATCGATTCCCAAGGGAACTAGAAATAGCCCTTACATCCAGTAAACCCCCTCCTGGGAATATACCCAGAGAAGCCCAAATCATTCTAGGAAAAAAGGTACCTACACACGTTTACTGCCACACTATTCACAATAGCAAAAACATGGAACCAACCCTACTGCCCATTGAAAGTAGACTGAATAAGAAATGTGGTACACATACATGAAGGAATATACAGCCATAAAGAAGGACAAAATCATGGACTTCTTGGCAAATTGGATGGATGGAATTCAAGACAATCAATCTTAGTGATCTTTTACAGAAATAAAGAACCGAATACCACATGTTCTCATTCATAAGTAGGACCTGAACATTGCTCACAATAGCACAAGGAAAGGATCAGCAGTTGTGACGCTGTCAGGGCAGGGAGAAAGGGTGTGTGTGTGGGGGGCATGGTAACAACATAAAGGGTATCTGATCCTAAACCAGAGGAAGTTAAGACCAGTTGGAGGCCCAAACTTCACCTGCGCATAGATTACTTATGTACCTAATCCTAATTTATACCCCACATCTTTAAAATAAAGTGTTCTTTAAAGAAAAAAAAGCAGCTCAATGATGAAATCATGGGTCCTAGAGTCAGACTGGGCAATTGAATCCTTGCTTTGTCACTTACATTGCAATCTTGGCAGGTTATTTAACCTTTCTGTGCCTCATTTTCCCATCTGTAAAATGAGAATAACATAATGTCTTTAAGGTTGTTGTGAGGACTAAATGATACATTTCACATAAAGCACGCAGTAAAGCTCTTGATAATCAATTTAGGTAATAGTGTCAAGTGAGATTTTTGAGATGGAGAGAAACGTACAGATGAGTGGTACCAAGAGGTATCACCAAAATCTGAGATTTATGTGGGTTTAAGGAATAAAGGATGTGTATCAACAATTCAACTTAGGGAAATTGGGAAACACACAAGACACAGGAGAGAAGATGATTTTTAGCACTTAAAACTCAAACCACGGGCTCAGGCGATCCTCCCACCTCAGCCTCCCAAGCACAAAACAAAAACAAAAAAACCTTAAACCATAAAGGTGAATAGCCATCCTGGGTGACATAGCGAGACCTCATCTCTACAAAAAATCAAAAAATAAGCTAGGCGTGGTGCCACGTCTGCAGTCCCAGCCACTGGGAAGGCTGAGGTGGGGGCCCTCACCTGAGGCCAGGAGGTCGAGGCTGTGATGAGTCATGATCCTGCCACCGCACTCCAACCCAGGCAGGAGTGAGATCCCACTAAAAAAAGTGAATTAATATCTAGGTGTAACAATACACACGCCGCCAAGAATGAAAATATATTCATGCCTCTGGCCAACAATCTCAGTTGCTTTTTCCACCCAGTGGAAATATTAAGTCCCAATGGCATTTGCTGTTTTATTCGTCTTTCAACTTGCGACTTCATCCTACAAAAAAGCGCCTAGCACGTGGTCAGTGGAAAACTACAAATGACCCGTCCTCTGGGAGCTCCCGGCCAGGCGGTGACAGACGACAGGGTCAGAGGGCTCCTGGCCGACCCAGAGGCGCAGGAGCCCAGAGGAAGGGGCGTCCGCGCCTCCTCGCCCCCCCCCCCGGCCGTGCCCCTCGCCCGGCTCTCGCCCGCCTGCCGTGGCGGCCTACCAACCGGGCCCCATCTCCGACTGGTATGCCCCCGGCCCCCGCGCGACGGCTCCCCATCCGACTGGCGCACCCGGCCGGGCCGACAGTCGCTGCCCTCGCGCCCTGACGGCGCCCGGACGTGGCCCCGGACGGCCTCCAATCCTGGGGAATGAGGAGGCGGAGCCCGGCGGGGGCCCCTGCGCTCAAAGGACGAGAAGATGCAGGATCACCTTTCGTTAGAGTCCGTGGCCGGTTTTTTGCCGAGGGCCGGGTTGGGGGGTTTTGAGAAAAGATTCTCAAAATCCATTCCTAGACGGGTGCCGCCCTGTCACAGGCCGGAGAGCTACTGAGTAACAACCAGAGCGTGAGGGGAGAAGAGACACCCGGCGTTGCTCACGGGGCCGCAGGCTCCGCCCGGCGCACGCGCCGCCCCGCCCCCAGCGACGCCGCCCCGCCTCCTCCGCTCTGCGCAGGCGCCTTCCTAATTGCATACCTTTTGATGCCTTTTTATCTCAGATAGTAGAATTTTTTTTTTTACTTAGTCCTTAGGAGTCTGCTTTCCTTCACTTTGGCGAAAGCTCTTCGATCGAAATTACGATGCTTCTAAAGAATGGTAGCAATAGCCAGCGTTTATTTGAGCACTCTGCAATCATTCCTTAGAAATGTTTCGAATTTTAGCTGACTTAATCCTTACAACAGTCCTGTAAGCTGTATTACTAGTACCAGCCCCCTTTTTGAGATGAATGAACAAAATCGTAGCTAGGTACTATAACTTGTTGGTTCTCTAGAGTTGAACGTGATGAAAATAAATACACGAGTAACTTCAAGCCAGAAAAGTCCATCAGATATTACCAAATGCTAAAAGGATTCCGAAGAGGGAAAAGAGTACATTTGATTGGGAAGGGTTCCTGAGAGAGCTGGATCTGAGCTTCGTCTTAAGATAGTTCTATAGGAAGAGATAAATGGGCACCCCAAGTGGAGAGAATTGTATTGACAGGAAAACAGAGCACAGGTTTAGCGAACAAAATTGCTCATTTTTGCTTAATATAATGCTATATAAGGGAATAGGAGAAAGGAAGGCTCAAATTGTAGACTGGACCAAGAACAGACAACCTGACTTGCTTCTATAAGTGAAGGGACTGTTTCGTATTCCTGGCATAAATCAGGTCCACTCCACAAAGAGAATTACTTGAAGCCAGACATCTTCCGCAGGGAAATTCTACTTTCCCCTGCTAGACTCAAAAGGACAAATATTGTATGATTCCACTTATATGAAATACCTAGAATAGGCAATTTTATAGAGACATACTAGATTAGAGGTTACCAGGGGCTGAGGGAAGGGGAAACAAGGAGTTATTGCTTAATGGTTACAGAATTTCTATTTGGGGTGATGGAAAAGTTTGGAAATAGATAATGGTGATGGTTGCACAACAGTGTGACTATAACGAATGCTTACAGAATTGTACACTTAAAAATGGTTGAAATGGGCTGGGCGTGGGGGCTCACACCTGTAATCCTAGTAGTTTGAGAGGCTGTGGTGAGATTGCTTGAGCCCAGGAGTTGGAGATCAGTCTACGCAACATAGCAAGATCTCACCTCTAAAAAAAAAAAAATCAAATTAGCCGAATGTGGTGGTGCACACCTGTAGTCCCAGCTACTGGGAAAGCAGAGGCAGAAGGCTCTCCTGGGCCCAGGAGGTTGAGGCTGTAGTGAGCTGTGATCTTGCCACCGCATTCCAGCCTGAGTGACAGAATGAGACCCTGACACAAAATTAAAAAAAAAAAAGACTGAAATGGTAATTTTATGTCATGTATATTTTACCACAATAAAAAATATGGAAAGCAGCTGGCATTATAAGATGGTGAAATGGTCTCTTGAGGACTCAGTTCCAGTACCATATAAGCATTTGCTGTAAGTCAGTAATCATCGTATATGGTGCTGTTTCTACCATTGCCAGGATATATGGAATCTGGCAATCAAGGGGTAGAAATGGGAGCAGATCCTCTCCGTATCTGTAGTTTAGTGATGCCCTAGAAAATTTTTTGCTTCCTATCCTCACAACATTGTACTCTGATGATTTAGAGCTGGGTTTTTCAACCTCAGCATTACTGTCATTTGGGCATGGATAATTCTGTTATGGGGATAATCTGTGGATTGTAAAATGCTTAGCAGCATCCCTGACCTCTACCACTAGATGTCAGTACCACCTGCTCTCCAGTTGTGGTAACCAAAAATGTCTCCAGATTGCCAAATGTCCTCTGAGAGGCAGAATAATCCCCAACTGAGAACTACGGGTCAAGAGTTATTAGTTCCAAAAGTAGAAATGCTTCCATCAAAGGACATAACAATGGTCTATGAAGCTTGAAGCTTGAAATTTGAAGCTGAGACCAGCATTTGGGTCATTAGGGTTCCTCAGACTAGTGAATTAACAGGTATATATGTATGTTTATATATGTACATATATTTAAAATCTTCTCCTCTCCCATTCCCCTAACACATCTAACACAAGATATGTTAATAGTAGTTAACTTCTTGGAAGGCTGAGGCGGAAGGATTGCCGGAGCCCAATAGGTCGAGGCTGTGGTGGCCAGGAGCGAGCCACTGTACTCAGTCTGGGCGACAGAGTGAGACTCCAACAACAAAAAAGTAGTTAACTTTATCTCATTAAGTTATAGAATATAAAAGGGGACATGCGACTGAAATAAGAATTAACACCACCCAAGGGTGTAAATGGGACTTTTTAAAACTTTTTAGGGAAAAGGATTAGCATGATTTTGGTTGAATGTAGGATAGTTGCATCATGTTAGGCAGAAGCATGACTTTGCTATTGCCTTTATCTCAAATCTAAGTATGGGTTAAAGAGGTGTTTATGAGTATTTCTGTGGTGACAGAGTGAGACCCTGACCCTGACTCAAAATTAAAAAAAAAAAAAAGTTGAAAAGCATATCCTGACTCAGTCTGTAATCCCAGCGCTTTGGGAGGCTGAAGTGAGTGGATTGCCTGAGCCCATGGGTTTGAGACCCGCCTGGGCAACTTGGCGAGACCCCATCTCTACAATAAATCAAAAAATTAGCTGAGCGTGGTATCGCGCACCTGTAGTTCCGGCTACTTGCAAGGCTGAGGCGGAAGGATCGCCGGAGCTCAGCAGGTCGAGGCTGCGGTGGCCGGGAGCAGCCACTGCACTCCAGTCTGGGCGACGGAGTGAGACTCCAACTCAAAAAAAAAAAGAAAAGAAAAGCATATCCTTGGTGATTTTGTAATGTCATCTTGGCTAGACCGAACTATGTTTTCCAGGATTCTCATACTGCACGTTTCTTGTTAGGGTGGACCATTAGAAAGATTTTGCATACATTTGGAAGGAAGAAATGAAACAGCAGTCATACTGTTTTTCATATTCGGTAAGGCAGTGAAGGAGCAGCAGATGCTATTGCAACTCACACACATTGTCATTTGCTGGTTTATCTTGGTATGAGACAACAATGAGACCTGCAGCTAATTCACCCCAGATCCTCCTTCAGATTTTCTGAATTCTGGACCAGGTATGTGTTTAGCTCCAGGGCACAAGATTCTCCTGTACAACATCTATGTCATAAAAGTTGAACAGGCTGCAAGGCAAATCTGATTAGCTCTCAGAGATTGCAGTTTGTCCTCACTCTTCCACACTCTACATTCACCTTCCCTTCTTGAATACATGCCTTGCAGATCTTTTTTATTTTTTAATTGGAGTCTCACTCCATTGTCCAGGTTGGAGTACAGTGCACAAACTCACAGCCACCCCAGCGTCGACCTGCTGGGCTCTGGTGATCCTTCTGCCTCAGCCTTCTTCAAAGTAACCAGAACTACAGGCATGCGCCACCATACTCGGCTAATTTTTCTTGGTTTATTGTAGAGATGAGGTCTTGCCAACTTGCCTAGGCTGTTCTCAAACCCATAGGCTCAGGGAATCCTCTCACCTCGGCCTCCCAAAGTGCTGGGATTACAGGCTTGAGCCACCGTGCCCAGTGCCTTGCAGATTGTAAGGCCTAGCACCAGACAAAAGCTTTACAGACTTTTAAGCAGCTTGCACAACTGCAGAAGATCAAATTGCTGTAAATCTATCTATCTGTCTATCTATCTATCTATCTTCTAGTGACTCTGATGCTCTTATTAGACTTTGAATAATAAGATGGTTTTAATAGTAAACTAGACTTCACTAATTTTAAAGTAAATCAGTGAACTAGAAGATAATTCAAAAGAAGTTATCCAGAGTACATCACAGAGAAACTCATTGCCCCCAAAAGGAAAGCTGTAAAAGAGATTATTAGAAACAGAAATAATAGATTAAAATGTCTAACATACAATTATAATAATCACAAAAAGAGAATAAGAAAGATAAAATGTTTGCAAAGAGAAGACTAAGACTTTTCCCAAACTAATGAAATACACCAATTTACAAATCAAGACATTAAACAAATATCAAGCAGGATAATTAAAAGAAATCCATACCAAGATACATCATACTGAAACTGCAGAAAAACAGAGAAAAATGTTAAAATGGTCACAGAAACTGTAAAAGATTACCTTCAAAATAGTGACAATTAGACTGCCACCTATCTTCATAACAGCAATAAGGGAATTCAGAAGACAATGAAATTGTATCTTCCATGAACTGAAAGAAAATAAAATTTCCAAACTAGAATTCTGTATCTTGAAATAGTATTATTCAAAATGGAGGTAAACCATAAGACATTTTTAGGAAAACAAAACCAGAGATCACTCTAAAATAATTATTTAGGAAATTCCAAATAATAAATTTAGAAATTAGAAAGAATGAATCTGAGAGCAAAAAAATCTCAGATGAAAGGTGTGAGTTACAAGAAAAAAAAAGAGAGAATAAAAAGAGTGGTAATTCTAAATGATGTTTACTGAATAAACAATATTACTAATGTATATTGGAATTTTTAAATATATAATGAAATTTCTGGGTCTGGGTAAGACAGAGTAAGCACATTATATCCCCTGAACATAGGCATACCTAAATACAATGCATGAAATTGTTTGAAGACTCTGGAAAGTCATTAAAGCAGGCAAATTGGTTATGAAGATGAGAATTCAAGGTACCACTGTGCTGATATGTTTGCTATTTTCTTTTTCCATTGGTCCTCCTGCCATTTGACCTAAGACACAAGTATAATTGCAAATGTGTGCAGAAGTGGGGGTAACTAAAGCTCCAGATTTCTGGCTACACAATCAAAGATAAAACTCCAAGGAACTGAAAAATTTCTAGGAGATTACACTGAGAAAGGAGCATAGAAAAGTGACACCATACAAATCTGAACACCTGGGCTTCCCATTGAGTTGTGCCTGCGTGGATCTGATCCTAATTAGG